CTAAATATAATTAATCTAAATTAATTATCTAATTTTGATTTAATATATTCTAGTTCTATATATTATCTTATATACTATTTATAGTATTCTATTAATATTTTCTAAATATTATACTATATATATTTATAGTATTGTAATTAGTATTTTATTATATAATATCTATAGATATCTATTCATATATTTTTTAAAATATTAGTACTATATAAAGAGTATATCTGAGTTTACTAGATTATTATATAGGTTGATACTTATTATCTTAATACTGAAGAGTTCTATTATTATAGTTTGTCTAATATTGAGATCCTTAATATTATTATAATTATAATATTTTATATTCTATAATATTTATATACTGGAATATTATTATCTATATAATATTCTATTGTTGATAATATTTACTGCTTCTATTGTTACTGTAGCCAGTATATTATCTGTTAGTGCCGCACTAGACCGGGGTCCGTAACACTGCACTCAGGCTCTCTACGAGGAAAGCCGCTGGTATAGGTCTATTAAGCAGAGAGCCTGAGCTTACTGAGGTAAATATATATGTATATCGCTTCTAAGTATTTTCGCGTAGGCTGTCACACTCGATACAGAGGGAGGGGTTAGTTGTCTGATTCTTGCAGTTTCAAGCAGTATTCGGGCAATCTAGGAAGTAGCATGGCCATTAGCCCCGCCCGTTTCACATGGGCTATGAGTTGTACTGGGGGTAATTTGTTAAAATTGGGCACAGTGTAGTGATGACCGCCTACTATTATAGGTAGGTTCTGCCTGTGTAAAAGTCTGTATATCGCTGGTTATTGGTTCTTCTCCATAGTAGTACTGATGCACGGGCCATTGAATATTGCTTGAATGTTCCAAATCTCGAATAGTACTCCGTACTTGTGACTGTAACTACTACGGAGGAGATAACGATAACCACATGATACTTTAGATACTCCCCATCCTAATCCGCTCATAGTGGTAAGAAAACATATAAGTTCTCTTTGGGTATCCATTTAGTATCAGTTTTTTAGGCTCCTTTTCATAGTCCAAGATAAATGCACACCCACGATCTTCCAAGTATTATGAACTCTTCCCTTTGCCCTGTACAGTCAAATTACCACTAGTTGTCCCCCTAATTACTCTTTTCTGTCAAGGTATCATACTTTGAGATGGTGCCAATAGGTTGGGTTTAAAACAGGGAACAAATAGGCGAAAGGTAGGTACAATAAACAAAGAATTTAGGGGCCACCATATTTATGTGAGGAAATGCCTAGAATAATTAAGATACCTATCTGGGAGAAGGGGGACGTGACGAGGGGATAATTAAACTGGCACCATGTCATACCCCACCACCGAGCCATCCAAACGAGTTAGGAGATTCTTACCTGAACCCATTGAAACCACTACACGCAAATCCAAGACACCTCAGCCAACATCATACGTGGGGAGGAAGTTGCTGCATGAACAAGAGGACCTTGACACTGCAGCGGGGGCCAAAGTCGACACAAAGTGTCACTCAACTCACCCTGTGGCATCTGCTAAACCTCTAAAACATATAAAACCACCGGGCAGCACTGCATCAGAGGTCCAGGATAGCTCGCCAACTTGCCTACCATCCAATAGTTATCTAGAGAGGCGACATGGAGAGAAACATGCAACGGAGTCGCTGGGATCGCTGCAACAAAGCCGTCTACAGAATGAACCAATATGCAACCCAGACAACTCTCAACTACGCCCGAGAAAATTTGTGCCCCAGCTAATGGAAACAGCCAGCCGCTCATTTCGCCGCGATTTGAGCCCATATGCACCTCATGATAAATACCGACCGGAGCCTGAGACTGGTCTGAAATATGCAAGCGCTATCGGGGATACACTGGTACATGGTGAAGGCCACTTGGCGCATGAGTCTCGATTTTCATACTCCCGACTTCGGCAGCGTCAGGAGACAAGACGGCATTCCTTTCGAGTTCCCGATCTCCCCGTGATCCCTTCTAGCGGTAGCGAAGCATCTGAAGCGTCTGACTTACCATCATTGCCCGTGTCACCATCTGTCTCATCCCGACAATCGGTGATACGATCGAGAGTGGAAGAAGATCGCAGGGAAAGTTGCGATGAGCTTTTCTCAAGCTATCTACTCTCTCTTGCTGCCCGCTCGACCGAAAAGCAGTTGAGAGACCAAGCCCTGGCAGCTTTCCCTAATGAACAAGTCTATCAGCCGGTGGATCACTTTGCCATTGATAGAGAAGAGGATTGTTCCAGCCAAGGAGAGCCAGTGATACGTGAAGCGGATGATGCTCTATTAAGGTACCGACGTGCGTCATCTGCGGATTTGTCTTGGGAGCTCGAGTATATGCGGCAGCATAAAGAGGAGGCAGAAATGCGAGACCGTGCCATGGCTGGCACACAGGGTTCGCACCTTTCATTTGTTGGCCCTTTAAAATTAAAGGCCTGCGGTAAACCAAAAACCCATATATCTCCAGATAAGGGTCGGGAAAGAGACCACCACGACCTAGACCAACAAAAACACCTGAAGAGCCCACCGATGTTAGGCGATAACCTTACTTTCCCCCAGAGCTTGTCACCCGAAACAACTTTCTGTGAGAGCCACCCCTTGGCCGAGTGCAATAACGACGTTTACAACTTTCCCCGCCTTTGGCATGCGGCTCCTCACAACAATGATCACCGTGGTGGCGACGGTTTATGGATGGGAACATGCAAACAGGACAAGAATTGCCGAACCCCTCAAGACTCTCTTTCCTATAGTACATTAGGTCCAGTTTCTCAAACGAGAGCAACGAGTTGGGCGTGGCCGAACGAAATATTGACATTGGAAGACAAAGCTCATCCTAAGCCCCGGACGAAGCTAGAACCACCCGATGAGAAGAAGTGCGACAGCTCTGATGGAGACACTGAACCCCAATTTCAGGATGGGTTTGTCACTCAGATTTATAACTACTTGTCTCTAGGCTACCCTTGTGTTGCTCGCTATTATGACCATGAGCTGAGTAGAGTGTCTGGTATTCCTGTACCGGAACTTAGGCGAGATGATATGAACACAGATGCCAAGGGTTACGTTAGCATTATCGAAAACGCCAGAACAGGAACTTCTCTTAGCGATGTTTGCATGCGTTGGCTAGCTCTTCGCTCGTATATACGTGAGTGGGCTAAGCAGCAACCCATTTCGGCTGAAGACAACAGCAGTCATGGGACATGGGGTGTACGCGAGAGAAGGGGTAGTTGGGCGGGGTGAGAACGGTTGTTGGAAAGGGATATAACTAGGTTTCTTGGTCGAGGGTGTGTGATTATCTTTTAAACCTCGCTATATGGGGTGAGGAAGGGGAAGCAAGGAGCAAATTGGCCTTTTGGGAGTGGTACACAGAGTTTCCTTGCGCTTACATTGTCTCTGGTGCCTCTAATATGAATCTCAGCCTGCGGAGGGTCCAAATTTGGCTGCAGAACACAGAACTTCAAACTACATTGTGCCCACGGGAGAAAGTTAATACTGATATCTGACCCACTGAATTGTCCTGAATAGCGAACGAACAGCCAAGTAATTCATGGGTGCGGCAGCTATTGCCTGTCATGAACCACAATATAAACTATAGGACCATGCTCCAGAGACACAAAATACTACGCCCATAGCACCGCTCTGTATTAGCCTCATGACGGACTGGGGCAATTGTTGACACCTTTACCCCCGTCTTTCGTGTCCTTGTCATCTTCAGCCAATGCTCGAGTCAACATACTACCCCGCTGAGCCCTTTCATGCACAATACCAGGGAATATCTTTTGTTCTGGTAACGCTTCAGGCCCAGTGTCCTCGCTCGATTTAGAGACCGGGAGGTGAGGAGTGGGACTTGGGAAGCAGGCATCTCCTGCGATTGTGGTCTCAGGCTGGTTTTGTAAATATATGGGAGAATTCACCGTATTAGAAGTCTGCGGAGATGCTGTAGCCTGCTGACTCTCCTTCCGCAAAGCTATCGCTGGTGAGTAAAGTAGACCACTATTTTACGGTGCGTAATGGGGCTTACGATGGCTTGGATAGTTCTCATTTTCCGTGGTCACGCTAGGTTGCAACTGTCCTCTGACGGGTAGTGCCTTTGAGTAAGTACTCAAACTGTCAACATATCTTCCAATCCTGTAGACAATTAGTTACTCTAGATGTCTTCAACCATGCCAGGGGCGGACAACTCAGCTAGGGATGCGTACAATGCCAACTCTCCTATCAGTGTTTCATGCCTAAATCCCTCTCGAATGTCCGGAACATTGCTCTTTGCAACATTATTTCCCGGGACTCCTGCTGCTGAACAGTTTGTGCCAAGCCATCTTTGCTTTAAAGCGAGCTCAAAACCACTTTGCAGGACCGAGTGTTTAGCTAGCTCACACATATCAACCGCACTAAATTTATAAATCTGTGCAGCAACCGAGTATTCTTCAATCAAGGGCTCCTTGGTGAACGCAAATTGTAATGGATCATCAGTAGATAACGATACGTTCAAGCCTCTCTTGAAAAAATTGGCAAATGGATTCTTGTCATACGTCAAAAACAGCGCATTGTTGCTGAGAGGCGACATGGCAATCCCAATTTGGTCAAGGTAGAATAGATACTGCAGTAAAGGGACTTTCCGGAGCAGGATCCCGTGGCTGATGCTGTGACAGCAGAGGAACCCAACCGCAAGATGGTCAGGGTCACCAGCTTCACCACAATGCGGCCTTAGAACGAACGTGTTGAACCCTCGCCGCTTGCGCCAGATATTCAAGGATGCGATGTTTGCAAACATGAAGTATATCCAATAACTGTAGGGGGGGTTTTGTTTCGTATTCCATTCTCTTGGGATGGGATATTTTCTATACAGTCGTCGCTCTGATTTGCTCTCGTCGTCGACACTGTCAAAACCGACCACACGCTGCAAGAACAAATGAAGTTTTGGATGACTATTAGGATCCTTCGTCACTTCGAATAGCGGCTGGAAGACGTTGGCGATAACCTGCTCAAAGTTTTCCATCATGCCACTCGACTTGTATACGTCATAGAGTCGAGGTACTTGGATAAGCCAACGAACATTAGGGGAGAATAACTTATTATCAACTACCCATGCCGCAAGTTTATCCCATTCCTGGATGGACCTACCGTATATTGAGATACGCCATTCCACCATTTGGTATTTGCTCGACTCCAAGTCCGAGATGACCTCCTTCGTTATCTCTGCTAGATAGCGACCTTTAATATAATTGTCTGTCTTCAGGAATATTTCTCGCAGCCGAGATTCGCCGACAGGGTTATATTTGAGGTTAAACTTGTCAAACCGGTGGAAAGAATCCGTGTGTGCCTGTAAAACTGTTAGTTGCAAACGAGGAGCAAGAAACAAAGTTCTCTCTTTCTACATACGTGCATATCGAGTGTATCGATACTCAAATCGTAAGCTGTAAGATTGATACTTTCAAAAACCTCCTTCAACGTCAAGTGCTTGCCATCCCTGAATAACACGACTTCATCGGGTGATTTTTTCATCTTGCTTTTGATGAAACGAAGGAGGTGCTTCTGATTCATACATGCAGAGTGATGCACATGTGTGTCAACTTTTCGGACATTGTAAAAATCTCTGTGAGGTACTTTCTTGCTGTCGGCTATTTCTTGATATTCATTTAGCAGAGTATATAGCTGAAACTTTCCCTCCAGGTAAGAAAGGCGTTTGAATGCGAAGCTCTTTGCGGGCCCGTCCGTTGATACATCTATGACCGCGTCGAGATCCATATAGAAATCTCTCAGGGAAGGAATTTGTACAACAGGTTGATTAGTAGTGGCGGTACCATAAGTTTCGTACACTTGATACACACTATTCCCATCGAGCTTGAAAACCCAGTCTGACGCCTCGGGAAGAGGTAGGCACTCGGCCATGTCAAAATCTTCCCCAATATCTTGACCCATTTTTCTCTTCTTCTGTTCAGGTCGGGAGTTATCATTAAATTTTCCAGTTTCATTGTCACCTTCCCAGGCTGGCTCTGGCGGCGCAGGGTATACTTTCCAGTCGGAATGATCCTTAGGGTTATCTCCAGGACCCTGCAATGATAGCTGCATGTATCTGGATCGCCGATCGAGTAATCTCAATATTTTGCGGCAAATTACGTTCAATTCTGATGTAACAGCATCGCCGCCTGGCATAGTATTCAACAAGGCTTGGGCGGCTCCCAAGATATCACCGGCAGAACGGTCATTACCTGCCCCCATAGTTTGACTGAATTGGTCTTGGGATCTGGATGGCGTTGTATTCAACCCGAAACTACCATGGGTATCATTTACAGCGGAACCGTTGGCCTGGTACTCATGCATGAAGTGCGAGCCAAATTGATCAAACAGCGGAGTGGCATTTGCAGCGGGCTGAGTCTTTGAAATTGAATCTTCTTGGCACACAGTGCTGACTGTGCGGTCTTGGGAGCCATTGTGTTCCATCACAGTTGGTGTAGAGCTTGGCGCACTGTCTGTCTGTGTGACGGCTGCATTGTAATTTGCAGGTACTGGGTTCAGGCTAGGCTCATTGTCGGCACTCCGTGAGGCGAGCTGGTGATGCTGATAGAAAAGCTTCGCTTCCGCGTGGCTCATTGATTTTTCATATGCATAGTCGTAGGTAGGAGTTTTCAGCAGTCTATCCCTTGGTAGAATATCACGCGATGTGTTTGTCGCCACGGCGAAACTAGACTCATTGGATGCAGTGCCATCCAGAGAGATCCCACGTGTCTGTAGATTCTCACTGTGGGAATGCAGGGAAACGTCGTCTTCCGATGAGGTTTCAGTAGCGTTGGCATTGGCATCGAGCCTAGAAGTAAGGTTGAGTTGTGACGAAGCCATAAGGGTATCAAAAGTTCGTCACACTTGTGCAGATGTTGTTTGTTGTGTTGCAGCTGTTGGAGTGATGAATCAGTCGGTTCTCCGCCGAAAATACTCACCGCAAAGCCCTACTAATCAAATCCCTTGCATTTACTTATGATTTGATTTGGATACTATTAGTAAGAGAAAAAAACAAAATCAAAAAAGAGGCAAACAGTCTATTGGGAAAAAATATTAGGCGTATTTGGTAGTGAACTTGTGAATAATTCAATTGTCTGGATTTTCTTTCATCATGGAGGAGAGTAGAAAAAGGCGAGAGATAACGAAAAGAGAGAAAGAGAGAGATCATAAGCACAAAACTATTCATAAAAGCCACAATATTGGAAATTAAAAATAAGACCAAACATATGAGAAGACATGTGGTAATACTCACCTAGAAAGATGTGATGAAAGAGTGAGTCTAAACTGTCATTTATTTGTTGGGGTGATGGTTTTGATAACCAGCATTGGACTCAGCTAACTAGTATTAGCTGTACCCTGCCAGTCTTGGCATGCATGTATTTTACATTTTTAATAGATACCGTGGGCTTTGGAGGGCCAGAAGTCTTAGCAATTAGTACTAGTACCTAGTACCTAGTAGTAATAGACTAATACAATAACTATTTCTGGATTTCGGGTCGCATTAGGTAGTAGTACGTACGTATGGGAGTAGAACTCCGTACCTTACTACTAGTTGCTACTAGTACTAGTAGTGGTGTGACGTACTCTGTAACTTTGCCCCGTACAACAGACCAAATCACCCACCTTCAGCTACATACTCATTAGGCAGAGACCAATTACCCCATAGTTAGAGTCTATTATCATTCACAGATTCTACATCACCCTACATACAGTGGAATATATACAAGAATAGTCGCCAATCAAAACACACAAAAGTCTCAGTTGCTCTCTTTTTTGCCTTGCTATATATCCCCTACACGCTGTTCCAGGAGGTGACACGGTAGGCTTTTCTGTGTTTGGTCGAAGTACACTCTAACCCACACTGTTCATGACAAGAACCTAGGGCTAATTCCTGCAGCTTCTGACCATATTCTGTAGTTTATACATTTTCACAAACACTGAAACGCGCTTTCTTGGCTATTATCGTGTCTTTGTGGAATATTCCTGAAAATGGCATCCCTGAACCTTTCATCCAATGGGCCTTCAATAGCAAAGAGCTATCAAGCTGTTGTCAACTCTTCCCCACCCACCAGCTCTTCTTCGCCTACCTATGGACAATGGGCGGTGTTTTCAGTTTCAGCACCGCTTGTTAGTGCTTTTCAGCAAGACACAGGCAACAAGGAGAGTGTTTTAAAGGTCCAGAGTACCGGAGGTCAGTCAAACACTTTATAATGAGGAACACTTGGACTGACTGAATATATGTAAGAGGGTGAATTGGCTGATCTTATCGACGAATTCTCTGAGGGAAAGATGCAGTTCGCCTTTGTTAAAGTCACTGACCCAAATACTGGACTTCCTAAGAGCGTGCTTATTGCGTGGTGCGGGGAGGGCGTTCCCGAACGGACGAAGGGTTATTTCACCAGTCACCTATCTGCGGTCTCAAAACTGTTACACGTTAGTGGCCTTTCAGTCTTACATGTTTCCTAGAGAACTTATCCCATCATAAATTATGCTGCTGACTTTACAGCTGCTAGGGTTACCATGTTCAATTAACTGCACGTGCAGATGGGGACTTGACTGCAGAAGGAATTATCCAGAAAGTGGGGGATGCATCCGGTGCTAAGTACTCTGCAGGAGCTGGGCAGCTGGCCGCTGCTGCGCCCAAGCCGCCAATCTCATCCAAGCCAGTTTTCACACCATCGCGGACCGGTGGTATCGGCTCGAATTCCACAGCATCTACTCCCCAGAAACCTCTCCAGAGATATACCGACAATGATGGCTGGGGCCCAGATGCCCCACCAATCACCAGGACAGAACTTGAAAAGGTGCAGCCAGCTTACCAACCAACCAAAGTTAATATTCAAGCACTTAGATCGGAAAAGTCACATGTCGCAAACATGCAGGCTCAACATACCGCCGAAGATCGTAGTGACGTTGTCAAGGGCGGCTATCAACCAGTGGGAAAAGTGGACATTGCTGCCATAAGGAGACAGGCACGTGAGGCAGGCGAATTAAAGGATGACCGGCCAGAGCCAGTGAGGGGGGCATACGAGCCAGTTGGCAAGATTGATATTGCTGCTATTCGGGCCAGGGCGCAAAAGCCCAGCGAGTCGATGGCTGATGACGGCAAATTTGCTGCACCAAACCATGCCCAGGTACAAGAGGAATCTGGAAACCACACAATCCCACCTGCAGGACAGTCCGAGCGTTTAACAAGTCTACCGAAGCCAAAGGTTGCGAATAAGTTTGGAGCGAACCAGTCGTTCGTTGGGACCAAGCCTCCTCTACCTAGTGGATCCGTGTCAAAACCAACTTCAGCAGCTACGCCCGTCGGTAGCGCGAGCAGAACTTTTGCAGATGAGGGGGGAAAGACTCCCGCACAACTTTGGGCAGAGAGGAAAGCGAGGGAACGGGGACAAGCTGCTACATCTGATCTGCCATCATCAAGTTACGAGGAACCCTCGCTTCAAACACAGCACAGCGGCAGAGGGGAGTGGAAGAGCTCATACAGTGGTAGAACGTGGACCCCTGTTCAGACTACGCACACTGGAAAGTCTGTCAGCAGCAATACGTCTCACCAGGCTACGGACCCTGCTGCAAACAATGCAACAGAAACAGAGTCTCAGCCCCCCCAAAGCGTCAGTGCTCTTCGAGATCAATTTGTGGACAGGTCACTTGATGACTCGGCCCCCGAGGCTAAGCCCGATGAGCAGTTGGATATAGGACGCTCTGTGCCTCTTCCCGGCTTACGAGCGGGACCTGTGCAACCAGAAGCCACACAGGAGCCTGAAGCTCACCAGGTGGCTCCCAGCCCTCCTGAGCAGCCTCGATCCCCTACTCCTCCAACCCCTCCAGTACGGGAAACCTCGCCTATCCGTGTTGCCATGCCTGTTGGACGTGGCGCTGTGGGTATTCATGATGAACAGCCATCACCATCTTCTGTTTTGCCCACGAAAAGTCTTGGTCAGACGGTGCCAAAAGATGCAGACCTTGCGGATGACACGGAAGATGTAGCCCGGGCAACTGCAGAGGCTACAGTTGGCAACCACGTCCAAACCAATGGAATTCAAGCCGTGGTACAGTACGATTATGAAAGGGCAGAAGACAATGAGATTGAGCTCACGGAAGGTGAATATGTGATGGAGATTGAAATGGTTGACAAGGACTGGTGGCTGGGTTCAAATGCTCGTGGTGAGAGGGGTCTCTTCCCGAGTAACTATGTTGAGCTACTGGAAGATCAGCCCCAGAATTCTACCTCGCCGGCCTTGCATGACCACAGTTTGGACACCGGGATCCAAGAGCCTCATGTTGAAACAGCCGCGCCTTTAGCTTCGAGCTCAGCCAATGGACCCACTGCTACAGCTCTGTACGATTATGAGGCCGCGGAAGACAATGAGCTCAGTTTTCCAGAGGGTGCTGAGATCACTCACATCGTAAGTTTTTCCCTTGTCACACCCTTTTAGTTTCTTTCTTCCCCGCATTCATATCGACGTTTGGGTTGCTCAGAGGATTAATATGGCTAACCGCTCGTTGTATGTAGGAATTCCCCGACGATGACTGGTGGTTCGGTAAATATGACCGTAAAGAAGGCCTCTTCCCAGCGAATTATGTACAACTCCGAAAGTGACCCTAAGGTGGTGCCTTCCACAAAGTCAGGGGTCGATGATGAGGAAGTCCAATGCGTTCTGCGTTCTATCTTAGGTTTACGGCTTGATTTGCCCGAGTCCTTGGACCTTTTGGCTGAGCATAGTTTGCCACATTCATATCTGCAAGAAAAAGAAAGGGATAAAAAATAACTATCCCCCCTGGGTGCTGCCTTCGCAGATAGGACATGGGCCTTCAACAGCATATGAAAACTTTTCAGTTATTGTGTTTTGGACTTACTATAGCAGCACTAAGAGAAGCAATTCAATACGGTATTATTCTAGTATACTTGTTTTGACTCGGTAAAAAAACCCAAGACTCTTCCAATTGGACACGGCACTTAGTAGGCTATTGTATAAGTTGGCCATCATCGTTATGTATCACTTGGTTACTAGTTGTTGATGGAATAAGTAGCCAGTCAGCTGAGTTTATTATTGTTGAGACTGTGCTTTAGGAGCTATTGCTGGCGGCGGCTGTATTGTTCATGCAACTAGTAGTCTACTGCGCAGTATGGTATCTCTATCGCTAAAATCTAGTGGTTAGGGTATTCACGGCTTTACTAATGAAAGTCACTTTAGTTACCTGTCTTAACTTTCACGAAATTTGATGATAGAAAAGTAAAATGTTACGACAATATAGGAAAAGAGGCTGTAAGTGTTTTATAAAAATTATCTAAATAGGTATTGGCTCGCCTAGAAACACTCCCTGGCGCCCGCTAGAGACCAAGTTCAAAACTCCAAATAGAAGTATCTACTGAAATACTCGTAGAGCCTACACAATAAATAGATTCTTATAGATTATACGGATTATATCTTGGTTACCAACCTTTTTTTTCAATTTATTGTATTTATGTTGAAGTATAATTTAAGCAGTTCTTCGGTCTAGTACTTTTCTAACCTTTTGGAACACCTCCGTACAGAGTAAAACTGTATAGTAAGTCGTCCAGAGCTCCTATTACGTGACCATATATA